AGCAAGTCCTTCCCCTGCCTGGGACTTGGCTTCCCTGCCTGTAAAATAAAGGGCTGGGTCAGCTGAATGCCCCCCCTCCCTGGCCCAGGGGTGCATTGGTAAAATGTGGTCTAGTTCCAGGAGGGTTGAGACTCTTGGTGATCAAGGTGACGGGTCCCCAGCCGCAGCAGGTAAGGGCCCTGATACACAGGAAACCAGTAGACCGCAGAAGCTGATCGTCTGGGGCCAGCAGGAACTGGGTTCAAGAAAGGGTTACTGCCACGGTGACTGTCTAAACGTCTAACCTCTCCCGTCAGTCTCCTCAACTGTAGAATGGGAGGCTGTGATTGTAGCTGTTAAGGTTGTGAGGGTCAGAGATGAGAGTAAGCCGGGCCAGGGTTTAGCACACAGTTGAGCACAGAGTTGCTACAGTTGATGGCAAGCCCTCCATGAACCCAGCAGGAATTACTAATACCTCTCTGCATGAGCCCTGCCACTGTTTATTTAGAAGGTCCTTGAGCCTCCAGTTGTGGTGTTAATATAGTTGGCAGTTTTGTTAGAATAATTTACAGTGGTCGCGTTTGCTTTCTAAAGGGCCGTACGGCCCGTGGCACACACTCTCCAGGGTCTCCGCTCTTTGATGAGCCCTGTGGGAGTCTCCTACGCCATAGCTCAGGGGTGTTCAGGGACTTTGCGGTGGCCCTCAGGACCTCATCTGTCTGCCTGTCATCAAGCAGCCCCGCACCTCCGCTCCAGGCCGGCTTTCCCTGGAGGCGGTGGGGGTCAGGGGGGCTGGACAGCCTGGCCCCACCAATGTCTCCCAGTCCCAGGGGGTGACGGACACTTGGAATCCGAGTGCACAGCCTGCTGCTTCTCAGGTGGACCTGAGACTGGGGCTCTGCGTCGGCCATTCAACAGTCAGTGACGATCCACCCTTGACTGCATCGGAGATAATTGAGGCATAGCTCCTGACCTTGGAGAGGATTGTGGGGGTGAGTGCGGGGAGGCTGGGAGGTACCGAATGTCCCAGCCCAGCCCCAGTGTTCACAGAGTCCCCACGATGCCAGTGGGGAGAGGGGCAGGAGGGGAGGCGGCGGGATCCTGGCCAGGGTGGTGGGTGCAGGTGGCACTGGGCATTGGGATCCCCAGAAGCCACGCCCCTGCCCGATAGTCAGGCTGTCCTTGCAGTGAGGGAAGGGGACAGCTGCAATGCTGAGGACGCTCTGGCCGGGATGGGAGCTGGCAGGAAGCCACCTTCTTCCGTCACTGGAATTCCAACGTCCTGAGAGGTACCCAGGTTGAGGGGGTCCCGGACAGACCATGTATAGGCCCTGCCCACCCGTCACCCCCAGACTGACGCCCGAGTGCAAAAAGCAGAGTCAGCTGGAATAGAGGTACAAGTGCAGGGCCACCAAGCTCAGGGAGGGAGGAGAGATGCCCGCTGCTCGCTCACCGCTCATCTCCAAAGCCAGCTGGGCGCGTCCCCATGAGGCCAGGCCGCTGGCAGCGACCAGGCCTTCAGACTCCCGCCGCAGCGGCCACCACTGGAAACACGTCCCATGGGCATGCAAGAAACACAGTCCTTAATGGACGGATGAATCCCCACCATGGCTTGGGCTTTGGAGCCTGCGGTGAGTGGTGTGGGCCACGGGCGTTTACAATACCGCCGCTAAGAGTAACCCCTTGCCTGCATGCTGTGTTCTAGGGTTTCCAGAGTGCTTTGATGTAGCCTGCCCGCAACCCAGCCCGAAAGGAGTCTAAAGAAAGAGCTCCTCTTTGCCCCACTGTGCTTTAGACACCGAGGGTGATCACTGGGAAGAGAGGGAAGGTGCCTGACGAGAGTGTGGCAGTGTGTGCGCATGCGTGTGTGTGTGTGTGTGTGTGTCTGTGTGTGTGTGTGTGTGTGTGTGTGTGAGACCGCGTGTGCGCTTGCCTGAGGCCCCCAGCAGGGTGCCCAGCATGTAGGAAGCGCCCAGTGAGTGAATGAAGGTTTGCGTGTGCGCTGAGGGGAGGGAGGGACTGCCACTAAGTAACAGGCTGATTTAGAAGCAGGCTTCCAGAAGAAATCTCAAGAAGCTGACTTTCAGTTGCTGGAACTATGGGGGGGGGGGGAGGGGTGCGGGTGGGTGGAGCCTGGCGCTAATTAATTAGAAAAGAGAGTTCTTACGAAGTTGGCCATTGCCAAAAACTAAGGAAATGTACTCGGAGCTCTCGAGTGGGAAGTCACTTGCTCTGGCTGAACACTAAATTAAGACGTCTTTACAGAGAACAATTTGGCAACTGTTGCCAAAAGCCTTTAAAATTTAGATGACTCGGGGCGCCTGGGTTGCTCAGTCGGTTAGGCGGCCGACTTCGGCTCGGGTCATGATCTCGCGGTCCGTGAGTTCGAGCCCCGCGTCGGGCTCTGTGCTGACAGCTCGGAGCCTGGAGCCTGTCTCAGATTCTGTGTCTCCCTCTCTCTCTGCCCCTGCCCCGTTCATGCTCTGTCTTGCTCTGTCTCTCTCTGTCTCAAAAATAAATGTTAAAAAAATAATAATAAATAAAAAAATAAATAAGATTTAGATGACTCATAGAACCATTCATATTCGGTTATTCAACAAATGTTTGTGAAGCTTCTAGTATATGCCAGTCATGGCGGGAGCTACCGTGTATGCAGCCGTGATCGAAACAGACATGACCCGTGCCCTTAGGGAGCTTATTTCCTAGAGGGGAAGACACAAAGTAATAAAATTATCGCATAAAATATAATTACAAATTGCAGTAAGTTGTTTGAAGGAAAAGTATAGGGTGCTACAGGCTACTAGAAGGTGGACCCTAATTAGATGGGAGTGGTCAGGACAGGTTTGTCTCAGGGGGAGACATTTGAGAAAGGCACAAACAGTGACCCGAAGGGTGAATCAAATCAGGTGGCGAATGAGGGGAGGACAAGCATTTGAGATGACGTACAGCATGTGCAAAGGCCCCGAGTCAGGAAAGAGTGGTTTGCTTAAGGAGCTGACTGAAAGCCAGTGTGGCTGGAATGCAGTGAGGGATGGAAAGAGCGGGAGGAGATGGGGCTGGAGGGGCCAGATCATATAGGGCCTTGTAGACCACGTTACAGAGTTTCGATTTTATCCTACGGGTAGTGGACAATCACTGGAAGGTTTTTACCAGGGGAGGAGGTGACAGAATCCAGTCGGAGTGGAGGATGAGCTGGAGAGAGTAGATGAATCAGGAAACTTCGGCAGCCAGGAAGGGAGATGATAATGGCTGTGACCCGTGGGACTCCACGGGTGGTGTGGAAAAAAGAAAGTGGCTTTAGGGTATGGCATTTGGGTATGGATTGCATGCGGGTGAGAGGGAGCAGCCCCCGTGATGCTGCAGAACTGCACAATGGGCAGAAAGGGAGGGAGGATGCGGCCAGGGAGTGGGGTGTTCGAGTGAGTGACACTGGAAGAGGGGCAAGTCCTCGGTGTGGCTGGGGTGGCTCAGGGCCTCGCCCCGCTGAGGTGGGATGGGGGAGAAAGCGATGAGGAAGTCAAGGATCTGAGGGGCCAGGGCTCAACTGGTCATCACACAGCTGTAGAAACCCCCAAAGATGAATTGTAATGACAAAAAGCAGGAGATAACGAAAATGCCCAGCCATTAGGGGGTCGTTAAGTCAATTAGGGTGTACCCACCGTGCAGCATATCTTATAACCACTAACAACATGGGTGGTACCACAGGGAAGCACAAAAGGGTTTCTTTTTTTTTTTTTAATTTTTTTTTAACATTTATTTATTTTTGGGACAGAGAGAGACAGAGCATGAACGGGTGAGGGGCAGAGAGAGAGGGAGACACAGAATCGGAAACAGGCTCCAGGCTCCGAGCCATCAGCCCAGAGCCCGACGCGGGGCTCGAACTCACGTACCGCGAGATCGTGACCTGGCTGAAGTCGGACGCTTAACCGACTGCGCCACCCAGGCGCCCCACAAAAGGGTTTCTGATTAAACTGTTAAGCAGGAGAGAACCTTCCAAACGTCAGGAATGGCTGAGTCGTTTGGGCTAAAAAAACAAACAAACAAAAAACCCTTATTAACAGACTTTGTTTTTTAAACATTTTTTATGGAAGTATAAAGTACAAACAGAACAGAAAAGTGTGCCGGCCACAAGCAGACAGCTCAGTGGGTTTTCACTGTGTGACCAGCATCCAGACCAATAAATAGAAACCCCCTTGGTACCTTCCCCCTCCTACAAAGTGCTGCAAATGCAGCCACTGTCTTGACCGTAATTGGTGTTGCCTTAAATCTTATTTGATCTGTAATTTAAAATTTTCCAAGAATGTATACAAATGTGACATAATTATTTCCTCCTTGTGGACAAAAGGGAATTTGGCCAAGGGTCTCTCAGAACTACAAAAAAAAAAAAAAAAAAAAAACCCAAAAAGTGGTTCAAACCATGTGTTTTTTCTTTAAGTTTATTTATTTTGAGAGTGGAGGAGGGGCAGAGAGAGAGAGAAATTGAGAGAGAGAGAATCCCAAGCGGGCTCTGTATTGTCAGAAGGGAGCCCAACTCAGGGTTTGAACTCACGAACCATGAGATCATGATTGAGCCAAAGTCAGGCACTTCACTGGCTGAGCCACCCAGCTGCACCCAAACTATGTGTTTTAAAGGGGGAAAAAAGTGGGAAACGGCAGGGTTTGATTCATTCTCTTTTCCGGAGTTTCTGCAGCGAGCTCGTATGATTTTTGTAGGAAAGAAACCATTAAGTTAAAAAAAAAAAAAAAATCAGAGCGTTCACTCTCCATGTGCCAGTCTTCTTTGGAAGGCTCCTGGTGCTGTCTGTGGACCTCAAGAGAATCAAGTGGCCCGGCTGCCGTCGGGGGGTTGGTGCTGATCCAGGGTGAGGGGTGGAGGCCTAGGAAGGGACACCTAATCCCCTTGGCTCAGGTGACAAGCCCTCCCTCCATTCCAGCCTCCCCAGCCACCCTCACGCCAGCTCCGTGAACCCCCATGGGGCGTCTCTGGAGACCTCACATCTGTCCCTCCTTCCTTCTCACAGGTGGAAAAACTTGTCAAATATTTGGATCCCAACGACCTCGGGAGAATCAACTTCAAGGACTTTTGCCGAGGGGTGTTCGCCATGAAAGGTGAGACCTCTGGGTCCTAGGGGTCTCTCAGGATCCCGTCCAGCTGCAGAAGCTGGCCTGACTTGGGTCTCAGCTGGGATTCCTCCCCTGGGGACTGAGGAGAAGGATCAGGCTCACCCCATGCCCACGGGACAGTCATTTCCTCCCTGCCTATCGTCTGTCCTGTAGAGAAAGGTTTCTGATTGCTTTCCTGTCTCCTCCTTGAGTCCTCCTCCGGGTCACCTCCCTCCAGGATGACCCAGCTCCCGGGCAGTGTCCCAGGACACAGGACTTGCAGTTTGAAAACTAGAACAGCTGTGGGCAGACCCCGGGGCACAGTGGATGCCCATCTCCCTCCTTCTCTCCTGTTCTCTTTGTTTCCTCGCCTCTCTCTTCCTTGGGACTCCTCAGTCTCTTCCTCTCTTCCGCTCCCCTCCTTGAAGGAGCAAAATACAGTCCCTCTCTTTTCCCAATTCGAAGGCCATTGTGAGGCACCTCCAAGGACCAGAGGCCACTCATGGCCACTCTTACCACTAAACTGCTTGTCTGGAGAAAGCGGCTTGGGCCACCGGGCAGGCAGACTTGTTCAAGCCTCCCTGCTGGCTCTGAAGAGAACACAGGCCTGCAAGACTTTCCTGCCATCTGTGAAGGAAGCCATGTTTTCCTGTCAGGATGAACCTTCTTCTGTGGGGCACCCGCGGCTCTGGGAGGGTGGGAAGGAAGCAGGAATCACTTCCTTGGAGGTGAGGGCTGACAGGAAGTGAGCTGAGAGGTTGGGAGGGGCTGCACGCGGCCCCCACAAAGCCTTCCGCAGCGTGGACTGTAGGACCGCCATTGACTGGGCCTGTCATGTGCCCACGCCAGGTGCTTTGTGGGTTTGACCTCCTTTGTCTGAAAAGATATGGGGGCATTTGCTCAGGAACCACGGAGGGAGGCCATCTGTGTGACGCAGTCTGCAGGACGCGGAGCCATGCCGAGGGTGACCCTGTCCTAGATGTCCTGGAGTTTACAGGGCCGTCGAAGGCCTCGACCGCAGGGGAGTGTGTGCATTTGGAGTGTCTGTGAACCGGGCAGGGAGTACTGTCTCATGTCCCTTCCTCCAGAGAGGCCTCCTTGATTTCTCTTTGCCCCTGGCCTGCCCTCTGCATTTGGGAGTCTCTCTGTTGTGTGTTCTCTGTTGGGGTCAGTGCGTCTCAGCTCCACCGGCAGAGCCCGGGACCAGCCTCTCCAGGGCTTGGCGTGCCATCTCTGCCTTTGAAGGATCAGCTGGGCTCTTGGACACTTGGGCCACCTGCCCCCCACAGCCCTTCCTGCCCTAGGCCCGTGGATCAGAAGCAAAGCTGCTGAGGTTCTGACCCTGCGCTGTCTGTCCGTCTGCAGGGTGCGAGGAGCTGCTGAAAGATGTGCTGTCCGTGGAGAGCGCAGGGACGCTGCCCTGCACGCCCGAGATCCCAGACTGTGCGGAGCAGGTAAGAAGGGGGAGGCCCGAGGCCTCCCGTGAGCGGGTGGAGGAGCCTCCCGAGGCGCTGCCTTGGCCTTTATGATCTTTTTGCTTCTGCTCCACCCTGTTGGTGTCTGGGACGCCCCAGGGCCTCCCCTTTCGAGGACACGTTGGCTTCAAAGTCAAGAAATAGTTTTTGGAACCTGAGCAGCCAGGCCCCTTGCGAGCCACGGCAAAGAGGGTAGGGACTGGGGGGTCCTCACGAAGCACTTGGCTCCCCCTCTCTGGTTCCAGGGAGCAACTGAGTCAAACGGGAAATGACAGACTTGAGGTCAACACCAGGCAGGACTGCATTTTGTTTTTCTTTTCTCCTCTGCCCTTAACCCACGAAGCCAACTGGTTCCTGTGTGGTTTTTCCCAAACAACAAGCCCCACCGGGTCCTCGGTCCGCCAGTTCTCCAACGCCAAGCAGGCGTCTAGCGGTTCCGTTCCGTTCCAGAGTTAGTGCAGACCCCAAGGGTCACGGACGCAGTCCCACGAGCCTGCCCCACCGTGGGGCAGCTACAGATGGGGTGCCCAGGCTGCCTGCACTTGTGCCGGCTGGGGTCCCCACAACCCCCCTCGGGTTCAGTAATTCACTGGAACAAGTCACAGAACCCAGGGACACACCGTACTGGCGACTATCAGTTTATTACAAAGGACACGACTCAGGGAGAGCCTAATGGGACAGGTGCAAAGGCAAAGCGTGACGGGGGCCGGGGGTCGGGGAGGCGATCGCATGCCGTCTCCAGACCCACCGGCTTCCCCGCACATGTGTGCGTTTGGCAATCGGAAACTCTCGGAACTTCGAAAACCTGACGTGCAGCCTGGGATGGGGGGATGGGCGAGCCGGGTGTTCCCACCTTCTAATCACACTGGGGTCTTTCTGGTGGCCAGACTCATCCCGAGGCTCTCTAGGGGCCCCCCCGGTGTCACCTCCTCGGCAGGAACGCAGCCATGTCGGGAAGGGGTTCCCTATGCGTGACTAAAGGCACTCCCGTCACTCAGGAAGTCCTGAGGGCCTGAGGAACTCTGTGCCCGAGGTGGGGCACACGCCACAGCCCTCATGGTTGTTTTCCTTTATCCGTGCCCAGCGGTGTGTTTGTTATAAAGCTTCGGAACTCTCGTTCCAAACACTTGTGGCTACACCCTACGGACAGACACAGTTTAAGATGCGTATATTGACAGGCTCCAAGGGCCCTTCTGGCCGAGACACCCCAGGGCTGGAGGACGATTCGCTCGGTTTGTCATCCAGGCCAGCTCCAATACCTTCTCTCCGCCTCTGGTTGGTGAACTCCCCCAAACAGAAGTGCTTTCCAGAGCTGAAGGAGATCCAGGACCCCAGAGGTCACTTAGGCCGGGTGGTGGGGTCAGGATGGGGACTGGATGAGTGGGAGTCCACACAGAGGGCTGTATCGCTGGGGGAGGCCAGCAGAATGATATTGGAGAAGCCAACGCTCAAAGGCGGCAGAAGCCAGAGCCAGGCACGGGGTGCGGGGCCGGGGCCCCCAACACGGAAGCCAGGTGGCTGGCCTCCAGGGTGCTGTGCCCAAAATGAGGGCCCCCCCAGGGATGAGTGCAGAGAGCTGGGCTCCAGGCCTGCCTTGACAGGCCCAGTGGATGTGGGGTGAATATGTATTTGAGCCCAGCTAATGGGATGTGGGCCAGGATCAGAGCAGAGGACTCCTCGTGTGGGACAAACACGGAGCGTCCCCAGGGTTTTGGGGTGGACCCCTCGTGGAGAGCTGAGCAGGAAGCAAGGTGAGGAGGAAGGCTGTGGGGTCACCCAGGACTGGGTCCACACCCCACTTGGGCCACTGACTGGATATGCACACCGGACAAGCCGCTCTCAATCCCTCTGCGCCTCAGTTTCCTCAGCTGTAAACAGGGCTGGGCACGCCGGTCTAAAGGACCTGAGGAAATACGAATTTTCTTATTAGCGAGTACATGAGAGCTGCCTTCCTCCCGTGCCGCGTCGTGGAGGTCAGCACGAGAACGTGGTGCTCATCAGCTTTACCCTCGGACACTGGTGTTTCGGTAGCCTGTCAAAATGGAGGCCTGCCCACGAGGAGCTGGGGGGCAGGGGGTAGCCGCGGCCAGGCTCCCCACCAGGGTCGCCCGGGAGGCCCTATCCCCGCAGCCACGGGCTGCTCGCCTGGCCCCCATGCGTGGCCGTCCACGCTTCCAGAAGAAAAGGTGGGAAACAGACACGGAAGCCCTGGGCTCCAGGAGGATGCTCTGCTTTTAAACAACACTATTTTCCAGAATAAAAAGAGGTTAGAGAAAAGCGAGAAGCACATGCCAGTCGAACCTCAGCAGCCCCAGTACCCCTCATCTTCTCTCTCTCAGGACCTTGCCTGCGTATGTGTTTTTATTCCCCTGTGTTTAAGCCCCTCCGGGGGGATCGCTTCATGCCCTGCATGTGGGTCTGGCTCTTTCAGGTGGCTCGGTTCGGCGGGACCCTGGGGAGGTGGAGACTGATCACTGCACACACTGCTCAGCCTTGTTCTGGAGCATCCAGTGGGGCAGCTCGGTTGACCCAGGGTCTGTTCCTTACCATGGACTCCTGAGTGCTAGGAGGTGGGAGGCAGGGGGGAACAGGTCAAAGTCCAGCCTGCTGGGCCTGTGGGCTCCTGCAGGGACAGGCTGTGAAGGCCCAGAGGCCCCGGGTCCCCGTGACGTGAATGAATCCACTTCCTGGCTCAGCTTCCTCTAATGTGCTCCTCAGGTCGGAGGAGCAGAGGGCGCCAGCCTGGGCAGATCTTAATCCGGTGGACCAGGCCCTCAGCACCCTGCTGTGTCCCAGCTGTCCCCTAGGGGTCAGCTTGAGACTGACAACAGCCTGGTCACTCAGGCTTCCAAAGTGCTGCCGGAGACAAAAGCGTAAGGGTGGTTTGGGGACCACGTAGGGATGACACGCTGATGGGACACCCTGGGGTGGGGACCTCTGACATCACCACTTGATGAGGGCCATCGTTAAAATGGTGAGACACTTTAGTGTTGCTGGTGGCCATAGCCATGGCTCCCAGCCTGCTGTGCAGACTTCTGGGCCATGTGAGTCCCTCCTGGGTGGGTGCCACCTGTGCTGCATCAGTTCTGGAACTTACCGAATGTCACCCTAACTGTGTCCTCAGAGCCTGCGACACTGGGGCATCCAAAAGCGTCCCTGAGGCCTTAGTAAACCCAACGGTTGAGTGAGTTTCCCAGTGCAGGGGGATGTGAATTTGGTCAGGGGATGCTGGGTGTCCCTGGTGTCCATGGATGAGTGTCCCTGGGTTAGGGTCTTAGGAAGCACCCTGGGAATCCCTCCCAAGGCTGGCCCGCTCAGTGGGCTGGCCCTTGTCCTCTTTTCTTTACAGCCCTCCATCTATATAGCACAGGGGTCTCCGTGGGGAGAGGGCATGGGCAGGTGTGGAGAGCCCCACTGCGGGCCCGAGAGGCAAGGGGGTGGTGCCGTGGAAGCTGACCCCACAAATGCTGTGAGATCCGGGGCCCTTGGTCATTCTCCTTCGTGGGCCAGTTAATAGGGAACCCCATAAAATGAATAGGGCGTCAAGCCACCTGCTTCTCCTGTGAAACTGCCATCTCAGTGAATGATGTCACCAGCCAGCCAGCCCCCAGGCCGGAAAATCATTGCTGCCGCCCCCACATCCAGCCGGCCTCGAGTCCCCTGATTCCAGCTTGTTGCCTTGTCCTTCTCCCCCTGCTGCCTACAGCTCTCTTCACCATCCCCAGCCTTTCTAGACCCTTAGCCCGGTGCCTCAGGATCTTCCCTAAGGGGCTGCTCTCTCACTCCCTTCTGGGACCCCTCATCACCAAAGGGATAAAACCAAGTCCCACCTCCTTCTGCAGCCTCGCCACCCCGAAATCGGTGACAGCCAACTCTTCCTCATTCTATGAAAAGGCTGAGTTCTCTCTTGCGTCCCAGACTTTGTATAAGTTTTGTCTTTCTCCAGGGATGTCCTCCCACCCGCTGTCCCTGGGCTAACTTCTGCTCAGCATTAAGACTTACGCTTCCTTCAGGAAGCCTCCCCTGGTTCCCTCTGCTCCAGCCTGGAGGAGGACCTGCCCTGAACTTCGTTGAGGCCCTGGGCCTTAACCTCAGCCTCCAGGGTGGCTCCAAGTCCCCTCCATAGTGACACCATTTTCACCCTGTGGTGACAGGACTCAGGCTGACCCTGTCTCCATATCCAGCACACCCGTATTCATGCTGCATAGAATGTTCTGTAAGTATTTCTAGGATTAGAAATCTAAAAATGGAACTGCTGTATCAAAGAGTGTGCAGACCCTATTTATTTTTTATTTTTTGGCTAAATGGCACTTTCGCCCCCTCTCTCTCTCTTTAAATAGGCTCTATCCCCAACATGGAGCTCAAACTAACCACCCCAAGATCAAGAACCCCTTTGTTCTACTGACTAAGCCAGCCAGGCACCAACATTTCTTTCTTTTTTTTTTTTTAAGAAATGCGTCCAAATTTTTCTTCTAAAAAGGCAGTAGTGATGTATCATCTGACCGGATGTGAGAGTGTCCATTTCCTCACCCCTTTGCCAACCCTGGAAGGTCTCCACCTACCTGCCAGTCTCCCCTCCACTCCTCCCTTCCCTTCTCCGCTCACCAGCCTGATGGAGGGAGACTCCCCCTTGCTTTCTTTGCATTGCCATTTATTTACTAGTGAGGTAGACCATGTGTCCTGTTCACTGGCCCTTTGGGTTTCTTCTTTGGGGAGTTACCTGTTCATAGTCTTTGCTCATTTTCCTTCGGGTTGTCTTTCCCTTATTGATTTATAAGACATCTAAATATATTCTGTCAATCTTTATGCATTTTGCTTGTACTTTAATCTTGGGTTTGGTGTCTTTTATTGCACAGAATTTTAAAATTCTTACGTGATCATTACCAGTCCTTTTATGCCATTCACATGTCATGCCTTCTTTATCTCAAAGCTATAAACGTATCCCCCTATATATTTTTTTTCCCGATACTTTTAGACAA